CTAGATCCTTTCTCTATCAGCTAAGCAGAGAAGAACACAATCCACATACCACAATTAGCACTACCACACTCGAACACGGATTGGGGGCAAGCAAAGCAAATCAAGAAAGAAGTCAAACCACAATTCATCTAACCCTGTGGATGACATAGCATTGTAGATACTAAAGATATTCACAATAGAGAGGAGAGAATATAGAGTTGGGAATATAATCACCAAAAACATTAGTATTATAAGTTTGTTGCATTGCAGATAAGGGGATTTCTGCAAGAGGGCCTATGCACTGGACTCCAGCGTTGTTAACCAACACATCAATCTGACCGAACTTTTCGAGGACATTGGACATGACATCTTGCACGCTTTGATCCGACAGAACATCAAGTTCCTGGAGAAAGAACCTAGGATCTTGCTGCAGATCCACCATGGAGCTCAACGACCTACTGGTTGCCACCACGCTGCAGTTGTTGGCGGCGAAGGCGCGTGCCAGAGCGTGGCCTATACCTCCCTGCGAGCATCCAGTAATTAACACCACCGGCTTGTGGGTATGGGATTCCATTGCAAAAAACTGAAATGGGTATCTGAAATTCGAAGGCTTTATCTCTCTTCTTGATTGTTTGGATTGACTGGATTGCTGTGGACAGGGATGTAGCCAAGATTTGACAGTAGAGGGGCAAAGTTTTTTAAACAAATAGAGATACAAAAATTGTACCCAAAAAAGATAGAGACACAAAAATGAAGTCAGATAAATCCCCTAAAATGGTAATGACGAACAAAAAATATGTGGTATTACGGCTACCATTACCTTTAAGTCTGGATAAAAATTAGTAAAGGAAATAAAGGGGACAGGAGGAGAGGGGAGGGGAGGACAAGGAAAGGGGAGGACAAGGGAAGGGAAGGAAAAGGTTAGTATTAGCTGTATTTGGATAGAGAAAAATGAAAGAAAGTGAAGGGTAATATTTTTATTTAATTATATAATTTAATAAAAAATAAAATTAAAAAATTACATTTTTAAAATTTAT